CTGCCTCCCGAGTGCTGGGATTAAAGGTGTGCACCACCACGCCTGGCTAGAACAGGATTTTTTAAAGTTCATTCAGAGCCTAATTTGGGGGCAGGTTCGTTAGGCATTGAAAGCAGTGGAGAATCTGTAGTTGAGAGAAGAGGTTTGAGATGAGTTTGGACATTTGGGTATTGTTAATAACCGTATATTTTTTAAATCATAAGTTAGGATGGTACCCCTGGAATGAATACAGGCAGAAAAGCAAAAGGGCGTAAGGACCAAGTTTTGGGATCAGCCCTAACCATATTAGCTTATTCAAATTACTTTCAAAATGGCTGGTCCCATTGACACCATTTTCAGAATTACACAGTAGAGCTGGACAACAGTCTTTGCTAAGAATGGGTTTTCTGTGTCCATCTGAAAATAGCATTTGTTGATTTATTACTGTTACAGGAAAAAATGAGTTTTGTTGTACATTTACTACTCACATATTTTCACAATATATAAATAGCCTTACTATATATGTGGCTTATTTTGTTCCCTGAGTATTCTAGTTCTTATTTGTTTATAAAATCATTTGGCATATTATGATAATTGACTTTTCATTTGTGTTGTATATTGAAGTTTTTATCTCATTTTCATTTCCATAGGTTTTTGGGGTGTGAAGTATTTTACAGTTTTAGCAGTTACATTGTTGTATATTATATTACTTTAACATATAAGAAGGTAAGTTACATATATCTACAAAGTTTATTCCAATATGTAATAATGTTTTCTTTTATTTGATTCTTAGTTCTTCTAGTATTTATATTGGGCGACAAGAGAAGAATCTTACAAATATTCTCTTAGATTTTTTTATAATCATTAAATATCAGTTCCAAATTTGAAAATTGTTCTTAACATATTTTTTTCTTTGTGTGTGTGTGTGTGTATGTGTGTGTGTGTGTGTGGGTGTGTGGGTGTGCACACAAGCAAACACAAGTGCATATCACGTATGTGGCAAATACCCTCAAAGGCCAAAAGAGGACATCAGGTCCCCTGGAGCCAGAATTATAAATTTGAAAATTGTTCTTAACATATTTTTTTCTTTGTGTGTGTGTGTGTGTGTGTATGTGTGGGTGTGTGTGTGGGTGTGTGGGTGTGCACACAAGCAAACACATGTGCATATCACGTATGTGGCAAATACCCTCAAAGACCAAAAGAGGACATCAGGTCCCCTGGAGCCAGAATTAGGGGCCATTGTGAGTCACTATTTGTAGATTCTGGGAACTAAACTTGGGTCCTCTGTAAGTGCACCTAACTATGAAGCCATATCTCTGCCCCCACTTGTCACTAACTTATTTTCAGCTCTTTAGTGAATTCTAGCTCTTAGATTCTCTTTCCTTTCTTTGCTTTTGTTATTAATATTATTTGTCAGTATCTTAAAATGTTACTGTATTTTAAAATGGTATGTTATGTACGCTATTTACTAGCTAAAAGCCCAAAAAGCCTGTGGGTCTTCTGCTCTGTTGTTAATCCCCTACTGAAATCAAAGGAGGGGATTCCAATTTTTTTCCTTCTTCTTAGAATAGCATATAGTGTGCAATCTAAGAAGCATATTAAAATTCAACCTTATTAAGAATGCAATTACTGTGAACCCCTATACCTTACACCTATTCCCACCCTTTCATAGGCCCAAAATTTGGCATATATCTTTTTCTTCTTGTCACTTAAAGTATCATCCTAGGTATTATGTATCTGACCTATATGGGGATTTTCCTAATAGGCTGAAATAAATCAGTAGTCAAGGTATATTTTATGCATGTATAGCAGTGCTTTTATATTTGTCACAGCTACTCAAACCTGCTTTTCTGCTTCTCAAGACAACTCTAAGTATGCCTTAGTACCTGTTACCCAACCTCCCTCTAACTTACATCCACCCTCCTCACCCTGTCTATCCTTGAATAATCACTATTCTACATTCAAAATGACTTTTTTAGACTTCTTTGTATTAGAACATGAGTTACTTGCTATTCCTAGTCTAATTTCATTTAATATGTCCTCTAGTTCCATCCATTTT